ATACATACACAAAAAGTGCAGATAATATATATTGTTAATTCACATACACACAAACATTTTATATATATATATGTATATATATATAATGTATACAATATTCTGTCTGTGTGTCTGCCTGCAGGCCAGAAAAGGACATCAGATCTTATTTTAGGTGGTTGTGAGTCACCATGTGGTTGCTGGGAATTGAACTCAGGACCTTTGGAAGAGCAGTCAATGCTCTTAACTGCTGAGCCTTCTCTCCAGCCCCTAATTCACTTAACTCATCAAAGTCCAGTTTTATTCATTATTTTATTTTTGCAGTCCATTGCATGCTTTTCCATTCTTATCCTTGTTTGAACAGGTATTGATACTTTCTTTTGCTTTCTCTGTCAGCTGTTCTTTTAGGAAGTCTACATAGAAAGTGATTATCAAAGAGCCCTTGATTTTAGCTCACGTCTTTAGAACCAGCACTTGGGAAGCAGATTTAGGCAGATCTATGTGAATTCAAGGCCAGTCTGGTCCACATAGTAAGTTCCAGGACAGCCAGAATTATATAATGAGATCTTATATTTAAAAAAAAAAAGTGGTGGTGGTTACAATCCCAGCACTTGGGAGGCAGAGGTAGGTGGAACTGTGAGTTTGAGGCCAGCCTGGTCTACAGAGCGATTTCCAGAACAGGCTCCAAAGCTACACAGAGAAGCCCTGTCTTGAAAATCCAAAAAGAAAAAGAAAATAAGAAAAGAAATTGTTTAATTGGTCTTGCAGATCAAGACGGTTAGAGTCCCTGAGTCCTTGATAGTGGAGCAAAAGCTTGGGCATGGCAGCAGCTGAGAGCTTACATCTCAAACAGCAAGCAGGAGCAGAGCTGGGAAAGGCTATGCAAGTCTTTGTCCCCAGTGACACAGTTCCTCCAACAAGGCCATACAAAACTTACACCAACTGGGAACCAAATGTTCAAATATGTGAGCCTATGGAAGCTGTTCTCATTGAAACCACCACAAGGTCTTTTAAATATCCTTCACAGAGGCCCTAAGACCTTATAGAAGTCTGACCATGTGATCATGACCTGGTGTGGTACAGCAGTAATAGGGGCTCAGGTTCGGGGCGGGGGGGGGGGGGGCACGGTTCTATTCCGGCCTTTTCCATACACTTCTCACACCCACCTCTGCTGCTTGACAGCTGTTCCGCCCAGTGAGGCTGCCTCTGCTGGGACCTCCTGTTTAGCCACAGAGACAGCCTAGATTCTGAGTGTCTCTTGGCTGCTTTTGCACTAAAACGACAGGGGCCACGTGGCCCCTTTCGGGAAGTTCTTGCCAACTCATGACTCGTGTGAACACAGGCAGAGACTGCCTCCACGGTAATGAGCTCTTCAGACCATGAGACTGGATTACTAGCCGTTCACACTTTTTACTTTTCTGTATCTTTCTTTCCCGATAATAATAATCCTGTACTGCTTTATAACAATAATAAAATGGGGTGTTTCAAGAGCTGGCTATGTAGCTCAGTAATAGAATATTTACCATACAGCATGACATCCTGAGTTCAAGCCCCAGAACCATAAAAAAATATTTAAGGGCATATTCAGGGATAAAAAGATGGCTCAGAGGCTAAGATCCCCTACCGCTCTGGCAGAGGACGTAAGTCTGGCTCTTAGCACCCACATCAAGCAGCTGACAACCACTTGTAATTTCAGCTCTGGGGATCTGAAGCCTCTGGCATCCATGAACACCTATGCACAAGTGCACGCACACACTCACTCTCACAAACACACACACACACATGAACGAATAAAAATAAAGGGCTACAGATGTGGCTCAGTGCTTAAGGGCACTGAATGATCTTCCAGCGGACCCAGCTTCAATTCTCAGAATCCACATGGCATCATCTAACAGCTGCCTGTAACTCCAAGATCTGACAGCCTCACACAGACACACATGCAGGCAAAACATCAACACATATAAAATAATTTTTTATTGATATTTATTGAGCTCTACATTTTTCTCTGCTCCCCTCCCTGCCTCTCCCCTCCCTACTTCAACCCTCTTCCAAAGTCCCCATGCTCCCAATTTACTCAGGAGATCTTGTCTTTTTCTACTTTCTACTTCCAATGTAGATTAGACCTATGTAGGTCTCTCTTAGTGTCTGCATTGTTGTCTAAGTTCTCTGGGATTGGGGTTTGTAGGCTGACTTTCTTTGTTTTATGTTTAAAAACCACCTATGGGGACTGGAGAGATGGCTCAGCGGTTAAGAGCATTGCCTGCTCTTTCAAAGGTCCTGAGTTCAATTCCTGGCAACCACATGGTAACTCAAAACCATCTGTAATGAGGTCTGGTGCCCTCTTCTGGCCTGCAGGCATATATTGTATACATAATAAATAAATAAATATTTTTTAAAAATTAAAAAATAATAATAATAACCACCTATGAGTGAGTACATGTGAAAATTGCCTTTCTGTGTCTGGGTTACCTCACTCAAAATAATGTTTTCTAGCTCCTTCCAGTTTCCTGAAAAATTCAAGCTGTCGTTATTTTTTTCTGCTGTGTGGTACTCCATTGTGTAAATGTACCACATTTTCCTTATCAATTCTTTGATCGAGGGGCATTTAGGTTGTTTCCAGATTCTGGCTATGACAAACAAAGCTGCTATGAACATAGTTGAGCACATGTCCTTGTGGCATGATTGAGCATCCTTTGGATATATACCCAAAAGTGGTATTACTGGGTCTTGAGGAAGGTTGTTTCCTAATTTTCTGAGAAATCACCACACTGACATCCAAAGGGGTTGTACCAGTTTGCATTCCCACCAGCAATGCATAGTGTTCCCTTTTCCCCACAACCTCTCCAGCATAAATTGTCATCAGTGTTTTTGATCTTGGCCATTCTTACAGGTGTAAGATAGAATCTCAGAGTTGTTTTGACTTGCATTTCTCTGATGACTAAGGATGATGAACATTTCCTTAAGTGTCTTTCAGCCATTTTAGATTCCTCTATGGAGAGTTCTCTGTTTAGGTCTGTACTCCATTTTTTTAAATTGGATTATGTGATCTTTTGATGTCCAATTTCTTGAGTCCTTTGTATATTTTGGAGATCAGACCTCTGTCTGATGTGGGGTTAGTGAAGATCTTTTCCCATTCTGTAGGCTGTCGTTTTGTCTTGTTGACCGTGTCCTTTGCTTTACAGAAACTTTTCAGTTTCAGGTCCCATTTATTAATTGTTTCTCTCAGTGTCTGTGCTGCTGGGGTTATATTTAGGAAGTGATCTCCAGTACCAATGTGTTCAAGTGTACTTCCCACTTTCTCTTCTATAAGGTTCAGTGTGGCTGGCTTTATGTTGAGGTCTTTGATCCATTTGGACTTGAGTTTTGTGCATGGTGATAGATATGGGTCTATTTTCATTCTTCTATATGTTGATATCCAGTTATGCCAGTACCACTTGTTAAATATGCTTTCTTTTTTCCATTTGATATTTTTTTGCTTCTTTATCAAAGATCAGGTGTTTGAAGATGTGTGGATGGATATCTGGGTCTTCTATTTGGTTCCATTGATCCTCCTGTCTGTTCTTATGCCAATACCTAATTTTTTTTAAATGTAGAAAAAAGAATAAAAATAAATTTTTTGTTTTTTTGTTTGTTTGTTTGTTGAGACAGGGTTTTTCTGTAGCTTTGGAACTAGCTCTTGTAGACCAGGCTGGCCTTGAACTCACAAAGATCCACCTATCTCTGCCTCCTGAGTGCTGAGATTAAAGATATGCGCTACCACTGCTCAGCTTTGTTTGGATTTTTGAGACAGGGTTTCTCTGTGTAGCCCTGGTTGTCCTAGAACTTGCTCTCACTCTGTAAGCAGGCTGGCCTCGAACTCACAGAGATCCACTTACCTCAGCCTTCAGAGTGCTGGGATCAAAGGTGTGCACCACTACATCCCAGCTGAAAATCTTTTTAAAGGAGTAGATGCTAAAGTAGGTTTTTTTTAATGAGTTTGGTTTTTTTTTAAAGATTTATTTATTTCTGTTTTATGTGTGAGTGCTTTGCCTACATGTATGTCTGTGCATCCCATGTACTCAATGCCCACAGAACCCAGAAGGAGACATAGTATCCCCTGGAACTGGAGTTACAGGCAGTTGTGAGCTGGGAATTGAACCTAAGTCCTCTGGAAGAGCAGAGGTCTTAACCACTGAGCCACCTCTTCAGCCTAGAAAAATCAAAGTTTTTTTTTTGCTTGTTTGTTTTAATTACATTGCACAGTTACAAAAACTCTCCTGCCTGCTGCCCCTTGTAACAACTATGTCCCCAAGAGATTTCCCTCCCAAAAGTTGTCATTAAGGGAAAACAGCTCCAAAAGTCAAGAAGAATAAGATCTCAGCACCACCCCATCCAAGAGTGCAAGGATAGCCAGCAATGATTCTGGGCCTCTCTAGTTCACGGCTGTGTCCAGCTAGCCATCGAGAACCCGCATCCCTACTTGCGTAGACTGTATGTGGCCCTAGGCTACATGAGGTCTGATGGACACTCTGGCCCTTGGAGGTCGTATCCAGTGGGTGCATGTCTCTCTTCAAAGTTGAGATCAGACTCACTCCTCCTAGGCACAAGCAGAGGGCCAGGTTAGCTGCCTGGGAGGCCAAACACTATGAGTCGCTGTCCTCTGTGTGTGGGGTTGAAGCTCTGCACAGTGAGTGCAGGTGAAGGAGAGACTAGAATGTTCTGTGGCTTGAAGGGCAGTTGGTCTGTTAAGAGTCTAGTAGTTCTGACTGGAGAGTTGGGGCTGAACATCAAGCCTCGGGGACTGAGAGAAAAGAGATCAGACCCACATCCAAGACTCTCTTAAGGTGGCGCAGAATGCCCTCTGGCATCCCACACATCTCCTCAGGCAAGGACATCATCCAGCCTGCCTAAGGAACAATGCTCCATAAAGGCAGGTCAAACCCACCAACCCAGTAGAGAGACAGAGAGGTGTCTTGGCCAGGTATCCCCACGAGTGCCTCCCACTTCCTTCTAGAGGGGCTTACCTGCTCTCTCTGTATCCACAGGTGTTTTCCTGTCCCCAGCCCCAGCAGCAGCAAAGGAGCCAGGCATGGAAGACATGGGAATGGTGGCCCTGGCCCCTCTGACTGATGTGCTGAACAGCCCACAGCTCAGTCCTGCAGCAGGCTCCCTTATCAGCCCCCTGGGAGCCCCCCTTAATCCCCTGCTCTCCGGCCAAATGCCCCTGCAGCCAAACAGTCAGTTTGCCAGTCTTGTGCCATGCCCCCTGACCAATTCCATTGGAGTTTCCCCAGGGGCCACCTTGACCAATTCTCTGGGCTTACCCACGACAGGACCCCTGAACGGTCACTTGAGCAGTCCCATGGCTGTCCACCCTGGGACCACTCTGGCCAGCTCCCTGGGTCTGACTTCAGCTGGCTCCCTGACGACCAGCAGCCGCCTGGCAGGCCCACTGGCTGTATCTCAGAGCAGCCCCCTCATGGCTCCCCTGGCAGGCACAGTGGCAGTCTCTCTGAGCAGCCCCCTGCTGTCCCCCACCACTGCCCCTCTAGGTGTTTCTCAGAACATACTGCCCAACCCCATAAACAACCTAGGGCTGTCAGAGGCCCCAAGGGTGCGGTTGGCGGAGCCAGCCCGAGGAAGCCTCTCAGGAGCCTCAGCCGGTGCAGGACCAGCCACCACCTCCAAAGGTAATTGGTATAGGGTGGGGCAGAAGGGCACCCTGGATAGTCCGATTCCTGCTCCCACCCTGCCTCACTCTAACCCCTCCTCTCATTTCCATATCACCAGTCACCGGTGAGCACCCCCAGCCGACCCAGGACTCAGAGCCCCTCAACATGATGTTTGTGGGTGCACCCCTCCAGATCTCCACCCCCATGAGCACCATCGCCACATCCAGTCCCACAACAAATTTTTATGCCACCTCGGATACTCGGACCCAGACGGGTGTTCTCCAGGGACAAATGACCCTCGTTTCTCTCCCAAACTCCCCAACAGGCTCTCCTACTTGCACAGTCCCCAACTCTGTCCCGACACCTGCCCCACAAGGTACTGGAAACTATTCCCCTTCAAGAAATTCCCACTCCAACTCCACCACCAGGGTGCACCAATCTCCTACCCGGCCTGTGCCCAATCCCCATTCTCCTCCACGCAATCCCCACTCCCCGTCCCGCACCTCATCTTCTCCGGCTTCAGTCAATGACACCCGGGGTGCACGCACCGTGGAACAGTCTCGGAAGAGTGTGCTGGAGATGGAGCGGAAGGTGTCCCATCGCAAGTCTAGCAAGTTCCCTGACCCTCCCCGAGGTCAGTAACACCACAGGAGCTCAACGTGAGTCTCGTGCCAACTCCCCTATCACACACCTGGACTGCTAACCAATGACCCTGCCACTGCCTTCGCTTATTGCTCAGCTGAGACCCTTTGCCATCCCCAGACTCAAAGCAACTAGCCTGGGAGAGGCTAGTGGGGGAGATCGCCTTCCAGTTAGACCGAAGAATCCTATCCAGCATCTTCCCAGAGCGCGTGCGCCTCTACGGCTTCACTGTCTCCAACATTCCTGAGAAGATCATCCAGGTGTGTGGCTATCCATCTCCTACATTGCCAGAGGGGCCTTCACAGATGTGGAAGTAAGCTCAGTACTGAGGGGCCTGGCATTTAAGGGGACTCTGAAATGGAGGGAACCCAGGGCTCAGTACAAAAAGCTGGCAAGGGTCCAGAGCATCTGGTCATGGGAATCCATGAGGAACCGGCAGTTCCTCAGATAGGCAGGTAGCATTCCTCTAGTGCCTCCAAGATGACCTTTGAATGGGTAGGCAGCTCTAACCACAGGGACTAAGCCAGCAACCTAAAGAATTCTACGGCCTTCTCCTTCAGCATCCCCAATGCTCTCTGGGGATCACAGGGAAGACAGAGCTTAGAGCCCACTGAGTAGGTGGCCAGCAATGGACCAGAAGGCCTGGTCCTCATGCTAATGTGTCCTCAGAAAAGGCCACAAAGCCTTCTCCCACTGAAAAAAGTAGATAGATATTTAAAAACAAACAACAGGGGGCTGGAGAGATGGCTCAGTGGTTAAGAGCATTGTCTGCTCTTCCAAAGGTCTTGAGTTCAATTCCCAGCAACCATATGGTGGCTCACAACCATCTGTAATGAGATCTGGTGTCCTCTCTGGCCTGCAGGCACACATGTAGGCAGGTATTGAATGCATAATAAATGAATAAATATTTTTTAAAAATAAATAAAATAAATAAAAACAAACAACAAACAAAAAACAACCCCCTGACCAAAACAAACAAAAAACCTAAGAAACAAAAAAACTTTTGTACTCCTGTGTCTTACAGACACTGGCAAGTGGGTAAGACTAGGGATGTCAGTTTGCATTTGGCTGGATACCCAGGAGAAGTTTGTGCCATCTGAGACAACAATGGTGGGGTTCCTATCCCTGCATATAGGCCATTTGGGTTTCTTTTTTTGTGGGGGGGGGTGGCTTCCCCGTGTTGCCAGTTGCTTGCTCTCTTACCATAGTGTAAGCACCTGTCATCTAGGTAGGAATGGCTTTTGAGTCCACGATTGCACAGGCTGATTCTGAGCTTTTCCTTTGATTTAGATGCTTTGTTTTCTTGGGGGGTGGGCAGGGATGGAGGGATTGAAACAGGGTCTCAGTATGTAACCCTGAATGGCCTGGAACTTTCCTTGCAACGCTGTAGGCCACGTTGGCCTTGAACTCACAGAGCTCTACCTACCTTTGCCTCCTGAGTGCTGGGATTAAAGGCATGCACTGTTTTGCCTGGTTTAGATACTTAATTGTTTTTTAGATGCTTAATTTTAATATGTTCAGAACTGTCAGTTTGCCTATGTTGTTTGTACTGTCTCAATTAAGAAATCTTTCCCTAGAGGGGCGGTGGTGGCGTACGACTTTAATCCCAGCACTCAGGAGGCAGAGGCAGAACCATCTCTCTGGCCCCTAAAGTTTGGGGTTGTTCTTGTTTGTGTGTGTGTGTGTTTGCTTTGAAATCTTTGGCTCTTCCATAAGTGATCATGGTAGAAGAATGAGGTAGGGCACGTCCTCTCCCAAGCATGAGAACCCCTGACTAACTCCAAAGACCACCAAGACAGAGTGCCATCGCATTAGGATGACTCCAGGACTAGAGGGGCAGGCCTTGGGACTGAAGGAAGAGAGAAGAATAACAAGGAACCAGAGGGCCATGTGGACGTGATGGCGGCAGAAAGGGGGCCCTTTGCTTTGGAGGGGCACAGCCTCTCTGTGGAGATCTGTCTCACAGGAGTTCACTAAAGGGGCAGTCAGTGCAGACTCTCAAAGCTGCCAGGGAGGAAGGATGCCCAGTGCCTGCCAGTATCCCTCTCAGTTTTGCATCTATGAGGGTTCTCTGCTCTGTCTGGGTGCCAGGCTCCTTGTCCATTAATACTATGGCGGGACGGCAGTGTTCCTGGATGCCAGTGGACAGTCATCAGCCAGAAACTCAACCAAAGAGGGTCCAGTGACATAGCAACAGAGACCACGGGAGCCATGAGTAGCTGACATTATAAAGAGGGGCCGTGGTGGAGTGCTTGTCTAGCATGCAGGAAGATCTAGCATGGATTGAAGCCCTGGATTTTATTCCAGCCCCTGAGCCAGGCTCCTCCTTGCTCTCTCATTATCTCAGCTCTTTCCTTTTCTGCTTGTTTTAGAATCTGTCCATCAGGTTCCAGAAAACTGGCCCAAATTTTGAGTTAGTTTATGGATGAATTAAACAGATAATTTCTAGATTACACTTTTTTGTGTGTGTGGAAACAGGGTCTCGTGTAGCCCAGGCTGGCCTTGAATTCATTTTATAGTCAAGGATGACCTTAAACTTCTGAGATTCCTGCCTCTACTTCCAAATCCTGGGATTAGAGGTGTGTTCCACCATATTTCTCTGATTTTATGAGATACTGGGCTTCTTTTCTTTTTCTTTTTGTTTTGTTTTGTTTTTTGTTTTTTGAGACAAGGTTTCTCTGTAGCTTTGATGTCTGTCCTGGAACTAGCTCTTGTAGACCAGGCTGGCCTTGAACTCACAGAGATCCACCTGCCTCTGCCTCCCAGTGCTGGGATTAAAGGCAGCCCGGCTGGAGCTACAGGTGGTCGTGAACCACTGCCCGACGTGGGTGCTGGCAGTCAAATTGGTCTTCAGCTAGAATAGTGCAGGTTTTGATGGCTGAGCCATCTCTCCAGCCCAGTGGTTACAAAGATTCACCTTTTTGCCTTCCTTCAGTTGTGAAGAACTTTGTAGAAGATGTTTGAAGTGTCTTTCCTCTTGGTACCCTTATCCTAGGGACCCTGAGTCCAACAGTGTCCGTGTGAGAGTGACTAGGGCCATTCAAGGGTGCAAATGGCACCTTGACTACCCCTTGGTCTCCCAAGAATGATCTCATTTTCACATACATTTGGTATTCAAGCCACCTTAAGTATCCAAGCCCTCTTAGGCGTTCTAATAACCTGTATAGCATCTGGATTTTTCTTGGTAACAATCATACTGTTTTTCTAGGCAGTTATATATGATCTTTTTTTTTTTTAAGTCTTGACATATAACCCAAGTATGCTTCAAACCTATGGTCCTCCTACCTCAACCTCCTGAGAATGCCCAGATACTATGTTATTTATTTTTGTGTATTTGGGTTGTTGAGACAAGGCTTGTTAAGTAGCCCAGCTGTTCTGGATCACAAAACTTGTTGTGATAGTCCTTCCTCTTCCACCTGAGAGGTCCGATGAGAAGTATGAGCCATTGTGCCCAGACAATGAGTGAATGAATATTTATTTATTTACTTGTTGAAACAAAGCCTTGATGTATATGTATCCCTAGTTGTACTCACACTGTGTAGCCCAGACTAACCTTGAGCCTGAGTCAATGTTCCTGTCTCAGTCTCTAGAGTGCTATAGTTACAGGCATAAACCACCAGCCCATTCTATTCCTTTAATTCTTAAAATGTTGGGTTGTAGAGATGGCTCCATAGTTAAGCACATGTACTGCTCTTCCAGAGGACCTAAATTCAAATCCCAGAATCCATGTCTGGTGACTCACAACCGCCTATATAACTCGAGCTCCTAGGGCTTTCAAAACCCCTGGCCTGTGTGGGCCCCTTCATTCATGTGCACATACTCACATACTAACACATACATATAATTAAAAACAATAAACATGTTTTTATTAACTTTTAAGTAAATAAAATTCAATATTAACATACAAAACTTATACATGAAAACAGAACTTTACAGGCAGCTCATCTGGTAGGGTGCTTGCCTAGCCCTGCTACCTAGACCAGATGTGGTTGTTACATGCCTTCACTCCTAGAACATAGGGTGCAGAAACAGGAGGATCAGGAACTTAGGGCCATACTTAACTACCTGACAAAATCAAGGTCAGCCTAGGTCACACAAGAGTCTATTGCAAAATGAAGAAAAAGATAAAAAGAAAAAACAAAAACAAAACATGAATTCATCACTCTTAATGGCACACACACTATGGAATCAGGTTACACACATACTTCTACTCAGATTTTTCAGTTTTCTTTTTTTAAAGATTTACTGTATTTTCAATTATGTATAGCTTCTTTCTCTCATTCTCTCTCTTTCCTCTGTGTGTGTGTGTGTGTGTGTGTGTGTGTGTGTGTGTGTGTGCACGCGTGTGCAAGCACCCTTAAGGTCAAAGGTGTCAGATTCCCTGAGAGATAGGTAGAGTTGGAGGTTATGAGTCACCCTGACATGGGTGCTGGGAACCAAATTCAGGTTCATTTTTTCCTCTGTGTGTCTTCATGTCAAACCCAGGGTCTTGTGTGAAGGCCAACATTCTACCAAATCTCAATTCCCTCCTTATCACGGATTACATTGGCTACATCTTTTTCAAATCATATAGAGCAGTGGATCACACAGGCAGCCTTTCCTTGATCTCTCCGACAGGAACACTTCTCTCCTCAGTGAACTCCTGCCTACCTGAAAGATTCTCTTTCTTAGACAAACCACCCAGTGGTCTCGGTTACCAACAACTGATGCAAACAGATATGGATTTATTATAATATTAAGGTCCTCAGCTCCAGGAAGGACACACAATTGGGTTTGTTTGCTACACTGCACAGAAAAATGCTAACACACCAAGGGACTTTCCAAGCAGACACACCCATGGGCACCGGTCCCAAGACAGCATAGAGATACCTAGCCAGGTGTCCCCAGTTGAGCCCAGCTGTCCCTGGAGAACCAGTCCCATATCCATGGTACTCCCTTGGAGGCCAGTCCTTCCTGAGCAAGCGCCTCTTCCCACGTGGAGTCCCACCTGTCTGCATCCACTTGCTTGGTAGAAACGTAGGAACCTTGACTGCAGGGGGTGTCGGGAAAGGTGGTGTTCAGGAAGACCTTCCTGTGTCATTAGAACAGCGTCTGTCACTTCAGGTTAAGAGCTTTCCATTAACTCTCGGGAAGGCCTGCAAACTCTGGGGTCAGGCAGACTGGGAATGAAACACTCACTATACCTCCATACTGGAGGTCATACTCCCTGTCCCCCATCCCTGGTGGCTTTCCCCTAGTCTCATATATCTGGTAGGGAACAGACAATGGGATGGCATCTCTGGAAGCTTTGGGAAGTCACTGGGCCTGCCTGAGCTGGGTTTTGGGTGCCTCGACCTCAGGCTCAGCCCTCTGGACCTTTTGCATGCTTCTCCTCCCTTGGCACCCTCTTAGCCATGCCTAACCATTTCCTTCCCTCAGCCTCTCGGGTCCCTGTTCTTCCTGCCTGCCTGTGATCCAGAGTGCTGTGGGAGGTTCCTGATGGCCACTCTCCCAACAGGCCTCCCTAAACCCCAGTAACCACAAGCTGGATGAGGACCTCTGCCAGACCCTCACGCAGCGCTATGTGAGCATCATGAACAGGCTGCAGAGTCTGGGCTACAATGGACGGGTGCATCCAGCGCTGACGGAGCAGCTGGTGAATGCGTATGGCATCTTGCGCGAGCGGCCTGAGCTGGCAGCGTCTGAAGGTGGCTCCTACACTGTGGACTTCTTGCAGCGTGTACTGGTGGAAACCGTGCACCCCAGCATGCTCACCGATGCGCTCCTGCTGCTGTCCTGCCTTAACCAGCTGGCCCATGACGACGGCAAACCCATGTTCATCTGGTAGCAACACTGGTGCCCGGCTGGCCCAGGCTCACTTCGCCCTGCAGGCTGTCGTGCATGGCCATTAAAGTTTCCCACAGACACAAGTCACTGGCCCATGCCACACCTACCTGCTCCTGTGGGGTACCTCACTAAGTACATTCAGTTTTGTCGGTCCTGGAGGGCCACATTCACATTACAGGCACCTGGAGAGATTGCTCAGATCAAGGCTCAGATGCTGTCTTTCTGCAGGGATTGAATGGAAAGCCCCAGGTTCCCTTCCACTTGATAATGAAAGGAGAAGTTCTGGGAGTTAAAGCAAAAACAAAACAAAACAAAAGAACAGGAACAGGGAAGGAATGATACACACAGAGGAAAAACCTGTGCTAACCAAAGACTGGGGGTGGGGACTGTAGAGGAAGGAGAGCCAGATGCCACCCCATCCAAAACTGGGCAGAGGACAGGGAGATGGCAGCCCCTTGCAAAGATGTCCTAGTTCTGGGAAAATGAGAGGCCCTATCCAAGTATGGGGGATTCAGAGCTGACCAGGGAATAAAGAACATGAGTTGGAGAAAGGAATGGGGGTGCATATAGAGTATTGAAATCAAAGTGTAGCCTGAGATCAGAAAGGCTGTGGTATTACTGGAAGAATGTAAACCAAGAATGGGCTGCTTCCTAAGAAGGGCAGTGGGGGAAAGCTATGAAAGCTTCTGGCCGGCCTGAAGGTACAGGTGCCAGGGCTGGGGCAAGAAGGAAAAGAAGCTAGGCAGTAGGGATGCCCTCCTTTAGTTCCAACACTTGAGAGGCAGAGGCAGATGGATCTGAGTTTGAGGCCAGCCTGGTCTATACAGTGAGTTCCAGAACAGCCAGGGCTACACAGAGAAACCCTGTCTTGAAAAACCAAATAAGGGGGTGGAGAAGTTAAAAGAACCAGGGTCTTAGAAAACTAGTCCTTACTAATCAAAGAAAAAAAGAGGCTTGGGGTCATAATTCAAACGAGAATCTTCTCAGTACCAATAAAAATTCCAGGAACAAAGAGGTGTGGGGTTGCTGTATTACCCCAGCTGAATACCTAAGCCCCTTAGAGCTAGTCCCTTTCTGCCCTGACCACTCCTATCAGAGAGACTTTGAGAACCCAACCAGACAGCTCATTAACAGTCATCAAAAGTATCTCCACGACTCTCTTGGCAACCTGGGTGAAGACAAGTAGCCAAGACAAACTTGATAGGCAACCTAAGCAGCACTTATAGTTGACATCAGGGTGGATGCTGGCTCACAGATGGAATTAGGGAGGCAGAGGAAAGTCTGTGAAAGCCAAGTGACAATGTAAGAGCCTAAAGTTGAGCCGGGCAGTGGTGGCCCACGCCTTTAATCCCAGCACCCTGGAGGCAGAGGCAGACGGATCTCTGAGTTCCAGGCCAGCATGATCTACAGAGTGAGTTCCAGGACAGCCAATGCTACACAGAGAAACCCTGTCTCAAAAACAAAACAAAACAAAAATAGTGTTAAAGTGCTCGTAGAATGGGGAACCTCCTTTTACTTGGCTCATGTGTCCGGGCGAGCCTTCTTAAAGTATAGAACTAACGCTCCCTCCCCCGACTTGAAGTTCTTAAGTCATAGTCACAACCTTTGCAGGTTGAGTCTTTGCTCTCAGGAACCAGGCACACGTACCTGCCTACCCTTTAGCGAGACTGTAAGGCTTACTGGAGGGGTGGGGAAAGCTAGGCGGGAGGCGGAGCCCTAAGTTTTTCTTGAAGTCCTAAGTGGACCCGTCAAGCGTAAGAAAGCGCAGTGGGCGGGACTGTGAAGCGCGGGTTCTTCCCCCCCCCCCCCCACCTTCCAACCGCCACCGAAGTAGTTTGAGTGGGTGGGGCCAATGTCCAGAACTCAGGCTCCCCGGGACACAGGTCCTAGTTGTGCCACCTGGTCTTGACCTCCTGCAGCTCCGGCGGACTCTAAGGATTCAACTCTCCGGCTGGAAATGAGTCTCCCTGACGTTTCGCGGCAAAGGAGCCCTGTGCGCCATGAACCCTCACTCGACTGGCCCCCGAAACCTGACGCCCTGAGGCCTTCACCCTTCTCACATCCCGTGCTACAAGCCCTACATGGCTTATCCCGCAAGCTGCTCTTCCCAGCCTACTGGTCTCTGGACCAGCTGCTGGGCTGCTGGGCACCAATGGCACGATCCAGAAGTCTGGGGTGGCTCAAAGTCCTGGCAGAAAGTGGGGCGGCGTTGCTATTGTTGATAGTAGTCGGCCTACCCCTGGCGCCGTTTGGCCTTGTACTCTGGCTGCCCCTACAGGTCTGGCGCCGCCCCTTCTGCTACCAGCCCCCTCCAGCCTGCTGGGTTTGGCCACAGCCCTGGCACCCGCCTGCTGAGCGCGTGCGCTGCTTTGTCTTTTTCACTGCCAATCTGTGCCTGCTCCCTGACGGGCTGGCACGCTTCAGCAACCTGTCGCACAGCCAGCAGCGCGCGGAGGCCATTGGTGCTGTACTGCTAGGTAGCCTTCGAACGTCACACTATGGGGCTACTGGATGCAGCCAGCCGCTGCCTGCGGTGCCTGGCGGTGTGCTGAGGGCCACAATACCTACGGATTTGGACTTCGTGTGCCTGCAGGAAGTGTTCGATCTCCGCGCAGCTCGTCGTCTTGTACACGTCCTGGTGCCAAATCTGGGCCCAGTCCTATACGATGTGGGCACATTTGGCTTAGTGCCCGGGCCGTACATCAAGATACTGGGCAGTGGACTTCTACTGGCCTCACGCTACCCGCTGCTGCGTGCCACTTTCCGTTGCTTTCCTAACGCTCGTCGCGAGGACGCCATGGCCTCCAAAGGTCTGCTATCCGCTCAGGTACTAACAGGCTGCAGTGCATCCTAGCAGGGAGAGGTTAAGCAGTGGATCTAACAAGAAAGGAGAGCTGAACTGTGGGTGGTGTTGCAGGCACAACTGGGCATCCTGGACGGGCGCCGTATCGTGGGATACCTTCACTGCACACACTTGCAGGCACCTGTTGGTGAGCTCTTCAGGAAGGGTTGTTGGAAAAGTGGGCAGCCCCTCTTCTCTCCTTTGAGAGCAGTAGATCCCTAACCTCACCAACACTTTTGTCCCTACGCCCTCGTGTTTGTTTCCTGACCCCAGACATCCCAAGAAATGTTTGGGTGGGTTTACAGATCAGGACCTGGGTATGGTCTTGAATCCCCACTCTGGGCTGAGCCAATCCCAACTCTCCTCTTAGAAGATGGGCATGTTCGCTGCAAACAGCTGTCGCTGCTCCTGGAATGGATGGAGGAGTTTGAGGCCGAGAGCCGCCAGAGTGGCGAGGCTGTAGCCTTCAGCGTCCTCCTGGGAGACTTCAACTTCGACAACTGCTCACCAGGTGAGAAGCTGGGGCAGGTGGAGCCGAGAGACCCAGACCTGCCCGCTAAGAAACGGTTTTCTTCTACAGATCATGCAAAGGAACAGGGACACAAGCTCTTCAGCTGTTTCCAGGACCCCTGCCGGCTAAGCACGTGCCAGGAGCAGCCCTGGGCCTTGGGTACTGCTTCTGTAGAGGAGGGGAGAGCAGGTCCGTGGGATCCCAGTCAGCAAGGCTGCCACTGATTCCGCTCCCACTCTCCCCGACTCCACAGGGACGATTCTGGACGCTTCTAAGCTACACCACACCATTGCCAACTCCCCAGAGATGCTTCAGAGGTAAGTGGAATGAGCCCAGGCAGGTCATCTGGGAGGAACTGCCCTAGCCTCAATGATGCTGCGCCTCTCCTAGGGCCCTGAAGGAAGAAAATGGGCGCCGCCTCTACCTGGCAGGACCCCCTAGTGGAATTCATTCAGATAAATTCTGGCAGGGTCGACGCCTGGACTATATCACCTACCGCGGAATACCTGGGAGTCGCCTGAGTCCAGTAAGTGCCTGAGCTGGGGGCAGTTGGGCTTGCTCAGACTGCAAACAGCTCTCAACTTGCCGCCTGCCCCCTGCAGGAAGTGGAGCAGGTGACTTTCAGTACTGCGCTGGCAGGGCTCACAGACCACTTAGCTGTGGGCCTGAAGCTTCAAGTTGTGTGTTCCTGACTCTGGCACACAGACAAAGGGATGACTAGCGAGAAAGACCACCATAATGAGCTGATCCCAATAACTGTGCGACTGAAGGATCTTTATTGGGGGACACTCACACAGCTTCCTGGGCACGGCGGTACTCATATACACTGCCACGCTCTGGAAAGGCTGGAAAGAGAGGGGGCGAACCTGGAGGTGGCGCTGGGTCCTCCGGGTCTCCGTAGCCCCCACCGCCGGGTGTGTGAAGGCAGAACACGTCCTGTGAAGAAGAGCAGGTTCAACACAGGTGTGGCCTTGTCCCAGTAAGATCACAGAGGCCACTCACAGCCACCCTACCCAAATTAAAAATTTTGCATCTCTGATGTTTACCACACAGGCTGCGTCTCTTACCCCGGGGTACACGGTCACAGATGTCTTCCCGCCCAAATTCACCGTGCGCCCGTCCTTTCTGATCAGGAGGTTTAAGCCCCGCGCGCCAGGCTCTCCCCCTACAGGAGGAGAAAACAAGGAACTGAGGGTCAAGGGAGGTAGGGGCAAGAGATGGGATCCTGAGGTGGCAGCGACAGGGGCAAAAGAGGCCGGAAAGGGCTGGAGAGTCACCCACCGTAGAGGCCATAAGGCTGGAAGGCCCGGCGCTCAGTGAGCACGGACAGCAGCGCCTCTTCCCGAAAGACCAGCTCTCGGATAACACCATCACCTCCCCGGAAGCGGCCGCGGCCCCCAGAGCCTGGCCTCAGTTCAAAGCGGCGCAGGATAACTGGGTACCTGTGCAGGTAAAGAGCACAGAGCAAATGAGCGGTGGACTCATCTCCCAGATCAACTGCCTAGCACTGTGGCTGCTCAGCTCACCGGCTCTCCAGAATCTCCGGGTCCGTGATACGTGTGTTAGTCATGTGACTGTGCACACCACTGCGCCCATGCCAGCCAGGTCCGGCGCCAGCACCACCAGCCACCGTCTCATAGTATCCCATATGGGCATTGCCCAGGGTCACATTGTTCATGCATCCCTGACAGAAGCACATAACAGTATTTTGTTAATGTGGGCATCCACCCCCACCACCCTGTTTTCCAGCAGCTCCCAGACCTTTGCTCCACCACACCTGGGAGGCTGAACAGGCCCCAAAAGCCCCCAGAATGACGTCCACTACTCGTTGAGATGTGAGCACGTTGCCGCCCACCACTGCTGCCTCTGGGGATGGGTCCAAGATGGAGCCTTTGGGAATTACTACACGCACAGGAGCCAGGCAACCCTGGT